CTGGGGTCGGGCCTGTGGAATTTGAGGCAGATTCCGACGCTTAAGGGGCTCTGGGTGGCGACTGATACCTCAGTGCTGGTTTCAGCCAGTCTAAAGATACCTGGGGGACTTGTGAGTGAGGTTCTCGGTGGCTGGCAAACATGAGGCTGAAGGTGTCTCGTTAGCATCACAGCCCTTTGCTTTGCTTATCTTTTCCATAGAAAAGTGGTGACCATTGCCAAGTCGAAGAAGTTTCGGGATCGCCACGGGAAAGTTCTGCTGGAGGGCCAGAGGCTGATCAAGGATGCTCTGGAGGCAGGGGCTGCGCTGCAGACTCTCTTCTTCAGCACTGTGGGGCACCTGAAGGAGCTGCCCGAGGCACAGCTAAAACAAGCCACCTTAGTTAAGGTGAAATTTGAAGACATTAAGACCTGGTCTGACCTCGTAACTCCTCAGGGGCTTTTAGGTAAGCTGCCTTAGAAATAATCACAGGGAAACTTATTTCACACTAAGTGAAACCTTCCCCTGGGCGTTCTGGCAGTGGGTCAGGAGGGGCGCAATTTCAGAGAATTCCCTTTTCTTTGGCCTGCTGTGGTAGCTGTCAGTGGCTCCTAGAGTCCCCTGAAGGTGCTACTGCTCATTTTTAATTGCACATTGCTTAAGCTTTGCTGGGAAATAGTTTTCCTAGTCAAGTGACAAACCTTTCTTAAACTTCTCTTAAGCCATTCCTGATGCTTTCTCCAACACCTTTCTAGTGAGATTTGGGCCAACTAAATCAGAGACAGCTCCCTCCTTGGGCTGTGTGAGTCAGAATCCTGTCAGCACTTTGTCTCCTCAGGGATCTTTGCCAAGCCCGACCATGCCAAGATGTCTTACCCTGCTGCTCAGCTAACCAGCTCTTTGCCCCTGCTCCTCATCTGTGACAATATCCGAGATCCAGGAAACATGGGGACTATTCTGAGATCTGCAGCAGGAGTCGGCTGTGAGAAAGTGCTGCTCACCAAAGGTAAGACCCTTTCCCCAGGGAAAAAAATGTAGCTTGGGGTAAGGCAGGGAGTAAGAGGTGCTCGATGATGTTATTCCGAAGAGTTTATAAGCAGTACGCACCCCAGACGTGATTTGCTGTGGGGAGCAGCGGCTGCTGAATGTGTCTTTGTGGGAGCTGCTGCACTGTCACTGTTTCCCCTCTTCTGTCTCAGGCTGTGTGGATCCATGGGAGCCAAAGGTGCTCCGTGCAGGCATGGGGGCTCACTTCCGTCTGCCCATCGTCGCCAACCTGGACTGGGAATCTGTTCCCAGCAACCTTCCTGCTGGCGTCCAGGTCTGCGTGGCCGACAACAAAGACCCCAGTGCTCAGACCGAGACAGCAACCGTGCCAAGGGGAGCTGGTGGGGCTGGCTCTGCCTCTGGCAGCCCCAAAGCTCCTGTGAAATCCAAACCCAAGGCTGGTCCTGAGCAAGAGGACGAGGAGGGAGCGGCAGGCGTCTGCATCCCAGAGCTGGCCACACAATATTACTACGAGAACTGGACACAGACTCCGGTGGCAGTGGTGATCGGCGGAGAGACCCATGGTCTGAGTCCAGATGCTCTTCACCTCGCAGCCAGCACCGGTGGGAAGAGACTGGTCATTCCTGTGGTGCCAGGCATGGACAGCTTGAACTCTGCCATCGCTGCGGGCATCGTGCTGTTTGAGGGGAAGAGACAGCTGCTGCGGAGGCACAAGCAGGAAGGCGAAAGGCAGAAGTTCCCTGTAGTGGGCTAAACTGAGGTTTGGGTGCTGAAGCAGCATCTCTTCCCTTTGGGACGCTGTAGAGTTAATAAAATCACAGCTTGGGCTGTTTGGTTTGCAGTAAATGGGTACTGAAGAGCTGGAGTTGTGCCTGGATGAGTGTGGGACTCTGAGGCCAGCCCGTGGGTGCTGCGGCCACATGGTGAAGCTAGAGAGAAGGGAAAGGCCAGTGCAGGGGGGCCCTCGCCTTCCAGGCAGCCAGCTCCCTGCTGCACCGCTTTTCTCACTCCCTCCTCTTGGCAGCCCTGGGCAGGGCCCACCTGGCAGCTTTTGGGGAACCTCAGACCCCTCCCTGCAGGGTCAGGGCGCAGCTGCTGTGCTTGTGCTGGCCCGGCCAGGATGTGCTGACAGCGCCTGTCCTTCCTCTTGCAGCCCCGGGCAGTGTGGCCTGGCTGCTGCAGTGGTTTTGGGGTCAGAAAGGCCAAATAGCAGACTGGGTCCTGCCTGTGTTTACCCCAGCCCCTGCTCTAACAAGCGATGGTAGCAGCTTGTGGTGTTACCTCCAGCCTGAAACTCCTCCAGCCGAGCAATTCTATCTCCAGAGTCTGGTTCCAGCTCCAGTCTCATCAAATTGACCCCAAACAACCCAGTTCTTGCTAAAACACCCCCTGCTTTGCTCAGGTTCCAACTGAGCTATGCTACTGAGCTCTGGCAGCACTGAGCTCACAGCCTCGCTGGGAGCCAGAACTGCAATGTCCACAAGGGAATATGGGTTCTCCCTCTCTACCAAAAAAACCAATCATCTGCCACTGCTGCACAACCAAATTCTACACCCCCTGTGGTCTTTCAAACCACAAACCTGTCACAACTGTCCCCAAACCAGCAGGTGCCTGCTGTGTGCAGCTGGGTGGCAGTAGGGGCTGGAGGCAAAGCTGCTGCTCAGGAGCCCTTAACCCTGCAGTGGAGGGTAGCTCACTGGAAAAGGGTCTTTCCTCAAAAATCTCCAGTAAAGGGGATCCGAATTAATTTAGGGTTAAATTAGGAGCCCCCTCCAGCGGCTCCCCAGCTTAGGGAGTGGTGAGCTGGGCAGCACTGCTGCTCCTCCAACAGCTCCTGAGTCAGTGAATCACCACTGCACATGAGCGCCTCTGAAACATGCAAAACACAGGGTGGATTTACACGGCTCCTGCCTTGCCAGGCTGGTGGCTTTTTCCTTTCAATACAAGGGGAGAGGCCGTGATGCTGCCATCGCTGACGAACGAGCTGAAAGGGAAACGCAGCGACTGGCACAACACCCTTTATTCAGCACACACCATGCACGGCTCCAGACACACTGTCCTCCCGGGGACAGTGGTGGAAACCAGTGCTGCTGCACCCGAGGGGACCCTCGGCTGGGGGGGATCTGAGTCAGCAGCACCAACACCAGGGGCTGGCTGGGGACTCCTCTTCCCACAGGGTCCTCAGCCAGGCTCCCTCTCCCCAACGGCGGAACACGGCAATAACGTTGTTACAACGGTTTTATTACAAAGTTCCAATCACCATGTACAGTTTTTACAATGTCACTTTTCGGGGGTCTTGGCTGTGCTGCTTGGGTTAGGGAGGGATTTTTTTTTTGGTTATTTTTTCTTTTTGAAGAACAGCACCATTAACGTTGGGTTTGGGACACACCTACCGAAAAACAGCTCAATCAACTAACGTAGAGGGGACAGGACAATTCATACCAGAGAAGAGGAGAAAGGGAAGAGCACAAGGGAGAGATGGAGAGGCGAGGGCAGCCCGGTGGTGGTGGTCTTCCTCCCAGCTCAGAGAGGGAGGGTGGCAATATCCACTGGTGGCGGGTGGTAACACCCCACCGCGCACAGCCAGCACCACCCAGCACTGTTGGTGCTTGGGGTGGGAGGTGGGAAACCCACCCAGAAAGGTCTCACACCCCCAGGAAGAAGAGCTCAGCTGCACTGTGGTCTTTTAGAGGTTGCCAGCAGTTAAGACTTTGTCTCGGCCTCGTCAGGGCACTCGCGTTGGAAAGGACGGGCCAGGGGTGAAGGGGACAATTTCCTTATTGCTTCCTTAAAGTCACTCAGTCAGCAGGGGCGGTAGGAAAGGACAGAAGAGGGAGAAGGAGAAGAAAAGAGCCCCAAGAACCTCATCCACTGCCTGATGCATACGTTGGGAAGAACACCATGCAAAAAGATCTGCCTGCTAGCTAGTGCCATGTATAAAGTAACGATACGGTAACAGTTCTGGCCTGGTTATTAGAGAATATATCACCATGAAGCACAAGCGAAGTCTCCAAACGCCAACGACTCTCTGCTGAAAGTGCATCTCAAGGAGTTTGCTTAGGAGAAGGATTCACTGCGTAAAACAAGGCACCACAAGAAGGTTGGATACTGGGTCGGGCGTGAGGACACGCTAGAGAATCCCCGAGCGGCGGAAGAGAGACCTAGTTTTAAGTAACGTCTGTTGGCGTGGAAACCCCCTTAGATGGGCTCGGGTTTTAGCTTGTCTGCTAGAAAGTCGCTGACAAAGGCCTCCACGATCTCAGGTGTGATCTCCTCCACATCCATCACGTACTTGGCCCGAGCTGACATGTCCAGGATGGTGAGCAGGGGCGCAGCCTCGGGCAGGTTGGTGTAGTCCCGCAGGGAGTCGGTCATGTCGTCCTGGAGGTCAAAACGAGAGGGGTCATCAGCAGAGATGGACACTGGGAGCAGTTTGCTGCTCCCACACCGTGGCCCAGCCCACAAACATCTCCCGAGGGCTTGGGTCTTGCACCAGCACCACAGGACCATGAGTGCAAGCAGCCAACCCCTGCCTTGCAGCCTGCTCTGCCCGCGACTGGTGTCAAAACCAAACTCGGATGATTTATCCCAGGTTGGGACGGGACCGCACGCTCCTCCAACCCTTTCCACGCAGGACACAGCTCCCAGCACCCCCAGGCTGCCCCAGGCCATCCCACAGCCTCTAGTGCAGGACCGGTTTTGGCAGCTGCAGCTCAGGAGCTGGGGGCAAGTGCCTAATGTGGGGATTCACCAGCCCTCTGCCCGCACAGCCACGGCCTCACCGCTCACCAGGGCCGGATGCTCAAGGGACCTGGGAGCACACCCAGAGCAAACCAGAAAATGGAAATGAGACAAAGACCTGTGCTTTGAGCCAACGCTGACCCCACGGGCAGGCCAAAGGGTCTGAGAACAAGCACAAAAGCCACAGGGCTCCCCAGCAGCGAGCTGCTCGCAGGAGGAGCTGCCCTCCCCTCGGCCAGGCACAGCTCTGGGGCAAGGGGGAAAATCTGCCTTTGCCGAGGCCGTGCAACGTAACAGCTGGCGTTGGGGTGATTCATCTCCCGCTCCCAGCCGAGCCCACGACATGCGGCATCCGAAACGGGGCGTTCCTCCTTTCCAAGGGCGGTATTAGAAATCAATCAACCCGGTCTGCGGCTGGCAGGGTAACTCCTGTCGCGCCTCCCCTTCCATTGCAGGGGTTTCTGGCGCAGCCGGACCACGTGGCAGGGAAGGGCGAGCGGGGCTGAGGCACTCGGCTCTCCCCAACCCTTCCTGCCTCGCAGCCCAGGTGTAAGGATGCCTCATCCTTTACCCGATCGCCACAAAGGGACTAAAAAAATGGGTTTAATCAATGTAAAACCGGCCCAGACGGTGCCGGGAGAGGAATGGGAGGCGTTTGCTCTGGCCATGGCCGAGCTGCTTTGTGCATGGGGGCCAGTGGAGACCCAGGGGCAGCGCTCCCGGCTATTGAGGTGCTGGATGAATGGGACGTGCTGGACGCTCCCCATTCTTCGGCCCGGCTGTCACAGGGACGTCACAGGGACGTCGGGAGCCGGATGAATAGGGGCAATGTTTCAGCTACAGCCGGCAGGCGGGAGGAAAACGCTTCACAGGCTCTGGGGGAGGGGGGCAGGTCCCACCCCCAACCCAGCCTGTCCAACAAGAGGCTTATTCAAGGGTGTGGGGCTGAGCTGGGATGCTCGGAGACCCGTTACAGCAGCAGGAGCAGGGAACGCCTGCCCAGACGGGGCTGAGGGAGGTGGTGGCAGGGGCTCTCCTGGCAGGGGGGGCCAGGGTGCGGCGGTGGGGACCCCTTTGTGCGCAGGGCAGCTCCGAGGGCCCCCGCTGGCAGCACACTGCGGCTGTGACGTGAGCCCGGAGGACGGAGCAGGCGCGGGGACGCCCAGCAGCTGTCACCTGCCCAGGCCCCGAGCGGTGCCTCGGGAACCGCAGCCCTGGGGAGGGGGCCAGAACCTTTTCTGACCCTTACACAAAACCTTCCCTGTCTTCAAGCCTGCAGCAGGACAAAAGGGCCGCACAGGGGTAAGGGAGGCCAGAAGTCCCATTTTCTTATTTCCCGTTTTCTCCAGCACATTCCCAGCTCCGAGCACTGCAGCCTGTGCATGCCCCAGACACCATCCCAGACACCAGCAGCGTGGCTGGCTCAGGGAACAGCCCTCCTTCCTCAGGGAAGGGGCCGGAGCTCCAGTCCCTGGCCTCCTCCCGGACGGGGAAGG